GCTGCACTGAGCAGAGATCGGCGGTGGCCTCTTGGGATATCTGTGGCAACAGGTGAGAACAAAATCTATCTTACTGACTTAACTTACCCATGAAATTATTCAAACTTACAGTGTACATTTTTTAAAACAGCTGCGGCTTCTACAACCTTTACAATGTTTGCATGGTACTGAATGTGTGTTTGTACTTGTGGACTGATATACTGATACAGGAACAGTATACAAGAAGAGCAACAGGGTTGAATATGGGTAAAGAAGAAGAGAAGAGGAAGTAGAAACTATGAAACTTCTAATTTATCCAGTGCTTGCAAAGTGATGTTGCCATTTAAATGACTAAATAGTGGATACAAAAAATTGAAAAATTGTGGTTGAAGTACAGATGCAGTCAAGATCAGAAATGCAATAGTTAAAAAACAGAGAGTCTTAAAAGACACAAATAGAAACATAAATGAGTGTGTGTGTAAAGAGGATTGACTTTAGGGGCAACAATCGCAGCAACAGATGGCTGATATCACGTTGGGCACGTTGACTCCACAGCGCGGCTTTGGTGCAGCTTCACAGATCTCTACACATTAGAGTAGAGCAATACAGCATCTGTAACCCCATGCTGTTGCTGATGCAGGTGGCACACAGGGTGTTTTCAACCTCAAATTGCCTTAACGGGATTACTAGTGTCAGCAGTCAGAGGAGGGGGCAAGAAGTAGAGTTTAGGCAGTATACTGTTACAAAATACAGTTAAATGAAAGTATAACATTAATAGTTAATAATTTAGTATCTTAAAGTTTGATATCTAAGCCACCAAACATTAGCTAATGTAAACGTCTGAGGTTACGATTAGATGTTGCTTTACCATTGCACATGTCATCCCTGTTGTTCAAGAAGGACAATTAGTCAACATCAGATCAGAGTGGGATTAGAGCTAATCTGGCGGTTTAAACCAATCTGCATAATCTTCACTGATTGGCACTGAGAGCTGGAAGGAAACAGGATTAACAGAGGGCAGAGGACAAAAGAGAAGAAGTCAGAGGAAGCCACAAGAGAAAGCTACAATCTCTGACACTTTAAAAAAAAAGCTCTTCTGTCTTTCAGTCACCCTCAGCAGCAATGAACTCCGCCCCCCCTGCAGGAAGCGCCCTGGCCCCTGCTGCAGCCACTGGCCCCACCACACCCAAGAAGGGACCACCCAAGTTCAAGCAGAGGCAGACTCGTACATTCAAGAGCAAGGCCCCCAAGCCTGGCCAGAAGGGGTAAAAGCCCATTTGCATGTATGAATATGTAATGCAAACAATCAAACTGGGTCATACACCAGGACCAGGGCCACTCACCTCTTTCTGTTTGCTCTTTTCCAGCTTTGGTGACGATATCCCTGGCATGGAGGGTCTTGGCACAGACATCACAGTGGTGTGCCCATGGGAAGCCTTCGGCGACATGGAGCTCAGCGACTTGGCCAAATACGGCATCATTTAAACCTGCTGCCTCCTGCCTTCCTTGCCTGCCTGTACCTCTCCTCTGTCTAATCCTCTCCTCCCTGCCTTTTCTCCACCTCAGCATGGCACGCCATGATAAGGCTGCCGGCGAACCCCCTAATGCCCTCTCGTCTATCTACCTCATGCCTCACTCCACTAAGTGGATGGAAAGCATAATAATGCTCTTATTTTTATATAATTATTATATGATACCGTTTATAGTACATATATATACTTGAAATGAGAAGACGAGAAAAAACAACTATACATACCTTACTCCCTTTCCCTTCATCCATCTAAAACAGACTTCTCCTGACTTCTCCTCCCTCCACACTTCCCTCTCTCCGTCAGCCACTCCTAACCCACGGCAATGGACGCAAGCAAAACACTAGTAAATACTAGCTTGTATTTGCTTCTAGCTGTCTATTAAAATGTAAATACTTTGTTCTCAGTGCTGAACCTTTTTACCTTGTCTTCCATCCTACCTTTTGTATTTCCTCCCTCTTTTATTTTGCATTGTATTTTCTACTCCTCGTGCACAAGGTTACTGTGAACACCAATGAATGCAAGGAGAGCGTGCAACATGCTGTATTGGTGAAAACTACAATGCACTTTCACATGATGATGGAGGATGAACTCCCTTTGATCCCATCTCTCTCTCCTTGCTGCTATCTGAACCCACGCCCCTCCTTAGAGAAAACAATGGTATATAAGTTTTGCGTTGCAAGCACAACACCACAGAAAATGTACTGTGAACTTGTGTGTCCTGATAGCTGCAGTAAAATGTGTTTATTTTTAGTACTCATGTTGTACGTCTCCTTTTTTTCTCGAACATTTAATAAAAGGGGAAAAAAGCACGGTGGGCTTGAAATGAATCACAAGTAAAAACACGGCAAACAAAGGGAAACGCACAGAACAATCAGGACTTGAAATCACTAATGAAGGCCTTGGATGAACAGTAACAATAACTAATTTTAAGGCTCCCTGAAATCAACACACTCCTACAAGGCTCTTTGTTGGAAATGGAAAACAAATCACAGTGCTCGCTCTCGCAAATGTCATATAACAAGAAACTGTGTTGTTTCTCATCTCACAAGGAAAATAAATGATCTGCTGGTACTCAATCCCTCAATATTCAGACAGTGTGTCATGGCTTATGACCTTATGTTTCTTTGTTGAGAATAAATTATACTCTAGAAGTTATATAGAATAATATAGTCCTTTTCTACTGACGAATATACATTATATATATATATTAACAAGAGTCTACTGCCACACTAGCAGTTCTGTGACATTGTATTTAGAAACAGTAGTGTTTTGAGCTAATTGCTAATCAGCATGAAGAATGGGTCTGATTCATAGAATCTGAATACTTTTGGATCACTTCAAAAATCAAACATTGTAAACGCTGCATACTAAAAATGTGACTTTCATTCAAATGTCATTTTCAATGTAGATAAAATGCATTTGACATATTCAGCATTTATAGTTGGTCAAATCAAATCACTCTTACAGAAACAGTACTGGGACAAACTACAGGTGTACAGTGTGTATTCAACAACATGCTGTTTCTTTCGTCTAAGTTTTTGTTGCTGCTATTATTTAATCAAAGGCTACATGGAGGAGCAAACTCTGGATCCTCAGGATACAAACTCTGTATGGCACTAATCTGTACTTAAAAATTGCGCTTTTCACGAGTTAATAAAGCATTGGTTATCATGAAAATCATTTTAAAATTCCCAAATTATAAAGACAGAAACTAAAATGTTACTTTCATCTAATTACTCATTGTTTCAAATGTACCTGGCCTGATTAAAGTTACTTATTTTTTGTAATCTAATTACATAATCCTGATTTGAAGTAATCCATTACTACCCAACCCTGAATATTCACAACGATCATGCTAACTTGCAGATGTTCAGCAGGTGTTACCCACTGACATATATAGAGGGTTAGATGTGTACAAAGTGCACCTGTTACCTGCTTAACATCAGCATGTCACCACTGTCATTTACCATGATCACCATCTTAGTTTAGCATATTAGCATGCAAACATTTGCTAATTAGCGCACGGCTGTGGCGGACATTCATTTTGCAGGTATTTGGTCATAAACCAAAGTATTTGTTGAATTTTTTACAGGATGGTGGTGATGAAATGTCAGGGGTTCAACCAAGTTCATCCTAGTTCATCTTGAGAGGAACATGAATGTCTGTGCCACTTTTCATGGCAATCCATCCCATAGTTTTCAAGATTTCATTTTAAATAGCAAATATTAACCTCATGGTGGTGTCAGTGATGACCAGTGTCATTAGGATTCATCGTCTGGGGACCATGAATGTTTGTACAAAATGTAGCAGCAATCCAACCAAGAGATATTTCAGTTTGGACCAAAGTGGTGGACCGACAGACTGACA